CCAGCGTTTAACCACACTCTACCAACAAGATGAGCCGCGGTGGCGGTCACCAGCAGCCACTCCCAGAGAGAGAGAGAGAGAGAGACCGGCCGGCCATCGCTCACATAGACACTGGCAGCCTCGCAAAGCCAGCACTTGCTGAGAGATGGGGTCAACGCCGTAACTGTGAGATACAGACAGGGGTCTTCAATGAGCTGGTGGAACGATGCCATTATCTTTTCATTCCATCTTTCTACAGACTTTGGAAAGCCCCTCCTATACTATGTAGCCATGCGTGGCGGTGTTTTATATCATCATTTCCATACAGACAGGAAGCAAAGTAAGGTCGCTGTAAGAAAATAGGCCAAGAAACATGTAGTTCAACCCAACGGCAAGATGCCCGTGAGCGCCACACCCACAGGAGCGTGGGAGACTCCCACGAGGCAAAAGCAAGCCAGGAAAGCAAGAGCAGGTTCGGCATTTCCAGGGAGCTCTCCCGCATGTCTTACCGCCGATGGCCAGAAGGGGCACACAATGAACCCGGCGGGCAGCCCACGAGGCAGAGCAGCATCAGTAGCAACAGAGTTGGGCTCGCCCTCCAAAACTGTCTGACTGTAGAAACCGGAAAGAGCCCACTTGAAATTAGCACGCCCGGGGCAGGGGCGTGGAACTGAGAAGCTGCTGCGGGACGGAAACGGGGACTTGACAGGGAGTCCAAATGGGGAGCCACTCATCCAGCCTGGATCCCGAGAGTGGGAGTGACGAGAGGAGTGCTCCCAAGAAGGTCTTCATCACTCTCCGGACCCTTCTCTCCGATGGACCAGGGAGACGAGAGAAGCTGGACGGAGCCAAGGCCACACTTTGCTCTCTGGGGAGCTTTGCATCACGGGGTGGAGACCACGGCATGTGTGCTTGCTGCCCTTCCGTCACTCTTCCCGGCACGCGCCGGAGGAGGAGCACAGCACCAAGAACTCCCCCCCCCCCCCAGGGGCAGTGTCACAGGGAAAACACAGCCTCCCGGAACCCCACCCTTGGCTAAACCAGGCATGAGTAGGGAGTGGGACCCCCACAGCCCCAGCACTGCCTACTCAGTGTCCTAGATGCCTGTGGTCACACGGCTTTGTCTTAGTAACCCCAGTCACAGCCAGCAGTCGACTCCCCCGCCCCAGTACAGTGAGTGAGGGTGCTGTTGCTCCTTGGTAACGGGTGACCCCGGGATGGAGTAGAACTGCCCCGTAGGGCTTCTCAGGCTGTTGTGTGCATGGGAGCAGATTGCCACCGAATGGGTTTGAACCAACAACCTCTTGGTTAACAGCCAGTTCCTTAACCATTGTGCCTCCAGAGTTCGTTCTTGCAGAAAGGAAGTGGCAATACGCACTTTCAACTGGCAGGCATTTCCTGTTGCCTCCATCCGTGCGTCCCAGAGCTATGTTGATGGGAAATGAGTAGTCATGTTTACCTTACAAAATGGCCAAAAATGTGTCCTGGGTAAGTGCCCAGTCCCTAGAGCTGGAGCGTCTGGCTCGGGTGTGATTCTCTTGCTTTCTGAGCGTATGACCCAGGGGACTCAGATTTTATCGGGAATAACAACAGAGCCTACTTCGTAGAGCTGTTGGGAAGATTAAATGCCATCGTGCCTGAGAAGTGCGTAGCACAGCCACATTGTCAGGGACTGCAATACTATTATGGTTGTTACAGTAATAGCCATTAGCCGCTCTTAGTAGCGAATTATAGATAACATTACAGAGAACGAGAATTTTAGAATGCAAGTGTGCTCTTGGTGGAACGTGTCATAGATCAAGCAGAGCCAGGGAATAATTTGTGATTCAAATTTTGGAAAGGTGAGTGTCAAGATTGTATCCTTTTATCATACTATTCAATCCGTATATTGAGCACATAATCCAGGAAGCTAGACTATAATAGAGAACAGCACAGCATCAGGATTGGAGGAAGACTCATTAACAGTCTGTTATATGGTTATGTACTAGGCTGTGATTCGCAAGGTCAGCAGTTCAAAACCACCAGCTAGCTCCATGGGAGGAAAGTGGGGCTTTCTACTCCTGGAAGCAGTCGTGGTAAACACACTGGCCGATGTCTACCCTGTCCTAAGGGGTGCTCGCTATGAGTCGGCATGGATTCGATGGCAGTGAGTTTGGTTTTTTTAGTTATGTGCAGACGACACAACTTGGCTTACATGCTGAAAGTGAAGAGGACTTCAAAGACAGGCTGGTGGAGAAAGATGGCGGCCTTCAGTGTGGATTACAACTCGAGGTGAAGAAAACTGGCACCCTCACCACCGAGCCAATGGACAACATCATGAAGAATCGAGAAAAGATTGAAGTTGTCAAGGATTTCTTTGTACTGGGATCCGCAATCAAGGCTCATGGGAGCAGCCTTCGAGAAATCAAGCCGTGGACTGCATTGGGGAGTTCTCTATTTAAAAAATAAAAACAAGGTCTCAAAATGTTAAAACATCAGCGATAACGCTCAAAGGACCAAATTGTGTCAGACTCAAGCGAGTGGCCTCGTATGCATGTGAAGGCCGGCCAGTGACTAAGGAAGACGGGAGGAGAATGGATGCCTTTGCATGATGGTGCCGGTAAGGGACATAGTCTGGACCACGGGCCGTCAGGAGAACCAACCAATCTGTCCAGGAGCAAGGACAGCCGGAATGCGCCCCGGCAGCATGAGTGGCACAGCTTTACTTTCTTTGCCCCTGATGTCAGGAGGCTCCCGTTTCTGGAGAAGACCTCACCCTTGTAGAGGGTCAGCGAAAAAGAAGACAACCCGCAAAAAGATGGATCGACAGAGTGGTCCTGCGTGGCCCCTGGTGTGGGGCTTGTGTCGAACTAGCTGCATTGCATTCTGTTCGATAGAGCAGCACTCCGATAGAGCAGCACTCCGTGTCAGTGCCAGCTTGATGGCAGTCCATGGGCTTGGCCATCGCCCCGGTTTTCAGGATGGTGCAGGACAGAGTGGCAGTGTGTCCTGTTATGCGTGGAGTTTGCGATGAGTCAGAACGGTTTCCATGCAGACCAGCAGGAGCCGCAGTTTTTACCCTAGAGGGTTTCATCTGGTAGTTTGACTTCAGCTAGGGGACTTCCAAAAGTTCCCGGGAAAATGGAATTCAAAGGCGATAACATTTTCCCACAACAGTTTGGGAGCTCTCTTGTCTTAGGCGCTGGCTGCTTGTAGCTGGAAAACTACCTGTAGTTAATAATTTTTTCACAGCAGCGTAGACTGGTCACTGCCGTGGGGCGCGGGCCAGTTGGGTGTGCTTTGGGAGGTGAGCTACAGAGTCAAAATCCCTCCTTGCCGATAGGTGGTTTTCTGGCCCATATTCAAGGTGCCAGACGGCTGTCAGGAGAACGGGTGCTAGAGAGGAAATGTTCCTGTCCTTCATGCATGTGGGACTACCAAGTATTCCCACCTGGAAGTAGTTGCACAGTGCTGAGGATGTTGGCTAAGACTGGGCCTTTGGTTTTCTTTGCGAAATTTTCCAGAATATGCTTAGCAGCACTATGAGGCAGTGGATCCTACTTTGTCCATCCTACCCACCTAAGTGACCCACCATTCACGCTCAGCATCCGCCAAGTATATCATATCTAAAGGTCTGACCTCTTCCACCGGCCTCAGCAGGCCACCTCTGGGTGCTGTGTGCAGTGAGGTGCAGAGCCACGTGCCTAACACGGTCAGCTATCCAAGGACTGAGTGTTTGCAGATAGGAAGCCCCACCTCCTTCGCGCAGGTGTTCATCCCTGGCCTTGCGTGTTTCTGTGGGAGCAGTGGGCATTCACAGCCTGGGGAGGAGGGAAAACCTCTGAGGACAGCAATCATGACTAAAGGTAATGGGGGAGAGAGAGAGATGTGAGGCAACGCAACCCACAAATAGGTCGCATAACCTTACTCATGAAGGGAAAAATAAGCAGGAGGCCACCTGAGAAAATGAGGGGAACCAAGTCTGGCCCAAAGGGGCAGGGAAATGCTCTCTGAGAAGGCGGCAGTAGAGGAGGAGGAGGAGGAGGGAGAGCAACCAAGTAAAACTGCAGAGGAGCAGAGGCAGAGCACCCTGGGGCAGGGAAGTACGCCGTGTCCTGTGAGCAAGGGCAACAGTAAGGCATGGAGGAGGAGGAGCAGAAGGCTCTGCAGGGTGGGCAGGGTGACCCTAAGCAGGACCCTGACAACCCAAGTGACGTCCCTCAGCTGTCTCTCAGGCTACTTCCTGTGTGCCGGCCTTGTTCCTGGCCATCAGGTGGCTTCTGACCCCTGACCCGAGTGTGCATTGTTATCGCTCCCAAGAATGTTCAGAGAGCAGGCCTGTCTTTCAAGAAACCTCTGAGCAGGTTTGAACTCTCAGATGACAGCTAAACGCCTAATTGCTGGCCCCACCCAGGGAGCCGGGCCACCGGGTGCCAAGTGGATTTGAAGAGGGATATGGTGTAGGGAGTCATCGCCTGGGTCCAGGGAGTGAGCCAAGGGCCGGGACCAGAGCTGTGGCAGTCTCAGGGATGAAGAGGAAGAGCCAGCTCTGATATGTTTTGAATGTAGAGCAGGGGCCTTGTAGGGAGGGTCCCGGGAGAAAAGCCCCTCTGTGCCTCCCCTCTGCACAGAGATCATTCCTTTCTGGCTGGCTTAGCTTTTCGCAGAGCTTAGGGACCGCAGCCAGTCTGGATGACTCCGAAGCCACCATGCTGAGGCCTGACCCGTCCCTGGTTGTTTTGCAGCCCACAAGGACCTCCTCGGAGAGCATTTACTCGCGGCCCAGCTCCAGTATCCCTGGCTCCCCAGGCCACACTATCTATGTAAGTACCTACTTCTGGTTAGCTCGGGGGTTAACGCAAGGCAAGCTGATCTCCCCGGAGAGAGAAGCTCATGCTGTGCTGAGTGACCCCTCATTCTGTGATGAGCCCTGATGTTCATCTTTGTGGAACTGGCCTTCTCCTTGGGGCATTCAGTCCACATCTGTCCATCACGGGCGTGGTCAGGTGGATGCCCGGGGGCACGCAGCAGCACAATGCAAAGCTTACAGAGGTCTCCGGTTTGTTTTTAGAGAGTAGCTATATGCATTCTAATACTGATTCTGAGTGTTATGCCACAAAGGTATTCGAATATTTACTTTATTAAATATGCAACCTTTGTTTGTAGCCACCTGGGAGCGTTGTCCCCCCCAAACCCCCCTTTCTCTACCATCTGTTGGAAGCTTTTTCTCTTCTAATAAATTTAGGAAAGTCTTTTTAAGGTGTGCAGACTTCTCTCCTTGATGAATTCTTCCTAGACATCCCCCCCACTCCCACCACCCTCGCTGCTTGGTCTCTTTTTGTAGAACATGATTCCCATGTGGCCTAAGCAAGTGGCAGCTTTTTCTAAAGCATATGATTGTGCTAAGCAAAGAGTGCGGGTGTCCGTTGAATTTGAAAGTCTTTATTCTTTCAGCAAGACATACCAATTGGCTGACGAATGTGTCCCCCACCCCACCCCACCCACGCAGTGAGGCTCAAGGTCATGGTTCTTTCTGTTTCGCTCTGGCAGGCAAAAGTCGACAATGAAATCCTGGATTACAAGGACTTAGCAGCGATCCCCAAGGTCAAGGCAATTTATGATATTGAGCGTCCTGATCTCATTACCTACGAGCCTTTCTACACATCGGGCTATGATGACAAGCAGGAGAGACAGAGCCTCGGGGAGGTATGCCCCCACCCAGCCCACCGCCCCTCCAGGAGTCCTGTCAGCAGTCCTGCAGGTGACCTGGGGCCTGGAAGTGGTCATAACTCCTCTCACCAGAGCCCTGCTCTCGGCCGAGCTGAGAAAGCAGACCAGCCTCCTGACACTTGCCTTGAGTGGATTCGGACTCACAGCAGCCCCGTGTGTCAGCCTAGAGCTGTGCCATGAGGTTTCCAAGAGCTAGCTTTTCTTTCAAACATCATTGCCAGCCCTTTCTTCCAGGGCACCTCTGAGTGGACTCAAGCCTCCAGCCTACTGGTGGTTAGCATCGAGCATGTCAACCATGTGCACCTCCTGGGCTACCCCTTATGCAGCTCTAAGCCCACTCACTACCAAGGAGTAGATTCCAACTCATAGGGGCCCTCTGTGGGGGTTTATGGGGCTGTAGATAGTCATGGGGACAGACAGCCTCATCTGCCTCCAGCCAAGCAGATGGTAGGTTTGAACCATCGGCCTTGTGGCTAACACCCCAAAGCATACCCAGCAACGCCACCAGGCCTCCCTCCCTTGGTAGACAGCAGTGAAGGATAACCTGCATCTATGCCTGGTTGTGGGAGGGCAGCGCCAACATGCAGAAGAAGGAAGCTGACGGCCTCAGGAGATTCGGAGGAGAATGAACTTGGGGAAGGGTCTCCCAGAGGGTCTTGGGCATGGGCACACTTAGGAGAGACCTATGTGAGAAAGAGCTTCCTGAATGTTGAGCGCTTCCATTTTCATCCTCTTCCCATCCTTAGCAAGTGCAAGAAAAGAAACTGTACAGAGAAGAGGCAACTTAAGTTTTTTTATCCCTGACCAAGCGCAGGTCTTCCTGAGAACGTTCCTGGGCAGGAGCGTGATGCGCCTTTTCTGGTAGTGCCATCTAGTGGCCACTCATTGTAGCGGCGGCGTCTGAGGTTGCTCTCCAATGCAGAGGATTCCATTGAGGGGGTTGTGCAGTTGCCAGAGAGCTCAGGAGAGTTTCCTAGGGGTCAAAGGGCAAGGGGAGGTTCCTGAACAAAGGTGCAAAAGGGCTGGTCTCAGAACTAGTGGCCAAGAATATGTTCAGCGCTCAGGTCCTACAAGCCAGGGAAAGCACGCTGTTTGATAATGCACTTTCCCCAGAAATTCCCTGGATGTTCCAATTCAGGCAGCAAACTACAGAGGTTCTCAAGCGCTTGGACTTCGAGGTTGGAATGTTCCGGGCTTGAAACGAGACAATAGGACTAGACAATAGCTCCTTCTCTGTCACTTCAAGATGACATTAACCTACCTCACTGGCTATCTGTATGGATTCAAAGAAATCCTTCCACTAAAACAGGATCTGTCATGTAACAAGCGCGCAACAAAGGTGCTGGCTGTTGTGGTGGTAATCATCACGTCTATCACAACTTGCAGCCACCCGCTCTGGTTTTGTCTATGGGAAGAATCCCCTTGGAGGGTGCCCCTTGGGTCAACAATGGAATGTGCTAGTGATCTATGGGGCTTTCTCCTCCTGTAAAGAGTTGCAAACATTGCCGGTCCTGCATCATTGTCAGGATCCCTGACAAGTTCCGGTCCTTCCCTGAGACTACTAGGTCAGGCCAGCTTCTGCGGGTCTCCCTTGTTCTTCCTGGCCATCTGCCTCAGGAAATATGCTGTCCCTCTCAAGCAGCCGGCCACTCCTGCTGACATCTGCCCAGCAACGTGGACGATAGACGGTTGTGAGCCATACAGCATCGATTGGCGACTTTTCTGAAGCAGATCTCTAAATGGCCTACTCTGTCTTAGACTGGAAGCTCCGCTGAAGCCCATCCACGACGGGTGACCCTACTGGTATCTGGAATGTGGGTCACCTAGCTTCCAGAATCACAGCAACATGCAAGCCACTGTAGAATGACAACCGGACGGGTGGCGGATTGCTTCCATCACAGCCACAGATTGTCATTTTAGACCACTGCAGGAGGAGCTTGGGTCCCGGGCATGTGTTGGGGGGACTGGACCTGCTGTTGGAGCGGGTAAGACATGATCCCTGCCCTCAGGGAGCCCGGCTTTACCCAGCCAGGACATCTTGGTGACCAGAGCTAGCTGACTCAGCAGTCACTCTTGAGTAACTTGGGTGTTTGGCATGGCAGCTCGTGGGGAATGTGGCACGAGAAGCAAATTCTGGGACAGAGATGCCCGGCTGGCGGGGTGCTCCGGAAGGCTTTGCTTCCGTTTCGTTTCATTACAAAGCCTTTTGCATTTTAACGATACCATTTCATCTGTTCTTTCAGAAAGTGTTTGTTGAGCACCTAATAGATGCCGGGGCCCTCTCCAGCCACTGGGAGGGAGAGGGTGTTGTTAGGGTGCCCTCCGGTCGCTTCTGACTGATAGCTGCCCAGCGTCTGGCAGAATGAAACACCGCCCAGCCCTGCCTCATCCTCACCGCTCTTCTTATGTTTGAGCCCGTCGTTGCAGCCGCGGTGTCCATCCGTCTTACAGGGAGGCCTTCCTCCCTTCCCTGCCCCTCCGCTGTACCGGCCATGATGTCCTTCTCCAGGGACCGGCCTCTGCCAACAACAGGTCCAAAGTACAGGAGACAAAGTCTTGCCAGCGTTGCCTCTCAGGAGCAGGCTGGCTGTATGTCTTCCCAGACGGATCTGTTGGTTTTTGGGGCAGTCCCCAGCACTTCCAGTATTCCTCACCAGTCCCAGCACTCGAAGGCACTGATTCCTCTTTGGCCTTACAGCATAGTCAATAAGCCAGGCACTTCCCAGCCAGTGGAAAGCGCTGTGAGAGTGAATGAGCAGACGGCACTACAGGCCTGTGGTCACTGCTGATGTCCCTCAGGGTGGAGATGCAGAGCATCAGACCGGAAGGCACTGCAGGCAGGGGGATCAGCACGTACAAAGGTCCTGAGGCAAGGGAGGCCTCCGCTGACTGGTGGTATCCCAGCATTCCTGTGTGCCTGGAAGGATGGAAGCCGGTGGGTGAGTTGCAGGGAGGTCGACCAGGTGGCCAGGGAGATATGCCACGTGCCTTCCATCACAGTCTGATTTTAGGCCATAAACACTTTTCAGTGGTTACTGTGGTTATAATGCAGTCAGCAGTCCTGCTCACCAACCCGACACTGGCCCCTCTAGCACACTGAGTGGGAAGAGGCACATGGATCCCAGCTTGTGTGGTGGGAATCACGTCTCCAGGCGATTCTGATAGGCCGTCCTAATGAAAGCCGGCCATGCGCAGTGCACGTGGTAACTTTAAATTCTCTTCTCTTCTCCTAGTCTCCGAGGACCCTGTCTCCTACTCCATCAGCAGAAGTAAGTACCTTTTTTTTTCTTTTTCTTTAAAAGAAATGGTGAAGGGTGGAATTTTGGAGTTGCTTGGAACTCCCCTAGCCTGGAATTTTCCCTAACGGACAAAGCCCCAAAGAACCACAGAACTGTCTACAAGGCTAGGAGGTATATACGATGTGATGATAGAAGTGGATTGTTTAAATGGGAATTTGGGGAGACATGGCCTTGCACCCACCTGAGTCTGCACCTGTTGGGGTCGTAAAGTGTCTGTAGTGAACGAAGCCACTGGTCCCAGTGTGGGGCCCCTTCTCACCCCTCAATATCCATTGGTGAATCATCCGAATTGACCGGCGGGGGGTGGGGGCAGTAGCATATGTTCGGTGTTCTGGCCCATTTTCCCCGAAAGGCCATTCCTGTGCATGGAGAATCAATCGTTTGCCTCAGATAGTCTTTGTAGAACTGGGTTGAGCCTAAGGACACCTCTGTAATTTCTGAGAGTGAAAGCCCTGTAGGTTCCCTCTGATTCCTGACAGGGTGCCATCAGTCATGGGTTTCTGTGGCATTCCTGCCATAAAGCACACACGTCCATCATCGGCCCGATGTTTGGTTGAAGCACACCATTTGGGGACATTTTTGTTGTTGGACTGCACTTGCTGTTTTGCTTATTATTGTCTCCGACCAGGACAAACGAAAGTGTCTTTGCCATTTGCATTCAAATCTCCCAAACTGTGTGGGCATTGGGCTGCTAACTGCAAGGCCAGTAGTTCAAAACTACCAGCCGCTTGGGAGGAGAAAGATGAGGCTTTCTACTCCTGCAAAGAATTAGAGTCTAGGAAACCCACAGGGACAGTTCTACCCTGTCCCAAAGGATCGCTGTGAGCCAGAATCAACCCTGTGGCAGTGAGTGTAGGTTGTTTGTGTGTCTGATAGTTATTGCTCACACGGTCTTTGACTTCTTGACTTATGGAAATGCTCTAGGAACATAGACGTACATCTAAAATGTAAAGCATAAATCATAAATCTTTGTGCTGTTTCAATATTTTAACTGGCGTGTGTGTGCGAGAGAGAGAATTCCTAATCTAGCCTTGTCTAGATCTGGACCTTAGATGCCATATTAATGAATGGCGTGGTTGTAGTCCATTGAATTGATAGGCCACAGTGAGCGAATCCTCAATTTGTTGAGCTTCTCATCTAAATTCTTGCCTTCCTGAAGGGTGAGATTGTATGTGTTTTAATTAAGTTCTCCCTTTGAACAACCATTTTAAATTATGAACCTGGACTGTGTTTCCTGAAGTGGGAGCAGCAGGATTTCATGGGTGTCAGACCAGGGCCAACTTGTTCTCCATCAGAGCAGTCAAGGTCACCAAATGACACGGAGCTGGTCATGGGAACAAGCGGTGAAGCCGGTTCTGAAGCACGCCCTGGCTGCACTCCTCCCACGTCCACACTGAGGCACTCACAACCGTAGAGGGGCCTGGCGGCTACCCTCACCTCAGGGGGAAGGGAGGGAGTCTCTGGCAGTGTACATCCTGGTCACGGGGTGTGTGCAGACACACTGTAGCATTGGTGAGCCCAGTCAATAAATATCAAAGTGGCCAGGGGAAGCCGTGCCTCTTTTTCCGCCTCGCTGTCTATACTGGAGTCAATCGTTCTAAAGTTCTAGAACCTTCATCAGTGCCAACCCCGCAGGTTGTGAACAAGGAGCACTAGGGACGCTCATTTGCACCCCTGCATAGAGAATATGGCCCTAAAGAGTGTGTGTGACCAGGTAGCCCCCCCACCCCACCCGGCAAGGACAGCAGCTTGTGGGTGTGTTTTGTGCTCACACTTTCTCGGGCTTCCTTTGCAGGGCTACCCGGATGTTCGAGACCGGATAATCCAGCGCTCCACCAGCCAGGGCTCCATCAGCTCCCCGGTGTACAGCCGCCACAGCTACACTCCCACCACGTCCCGCTCGCCCCAGCATTTCCACAGGCCTGGTAAGGGCAGCTGTCCCCACGAGCCACACAGTGGCACCGTCCTGGCTTCCTGTGCATCCCCGCTCCCTTCCCCATCCACATCCTCACCCCAGCCCCAGGGACAACTCTGACTGAGAACTCTGGCTGCCAAACATTTCTACCTCTTTCCCAGGAAAAGAAAGGAAAACACATCACCTAACCTAACCGGATGTTCAGCCCTCGTTTACGTTCTGTCTTGTCTTGAAGCAGCCTCGGCGGCTGCTCCTCCTGTTCAGTGTGATTTGTAAGCTTATTATATTCTGACAGTGAAGTGCTAGTGCATGCCAGGGAGATTTATTTCGCTTTGTTTGTATCAGGCTTAAAGAAAAGCTGACCTCCTTCGGCTTAAGATACAGCTCTCCAGAAATTCTGATGTGACTTCCCAGGCCTGGGGGCATCATCTCTAACCCAGCGTGAGCCGTCTGGTGACAGGTGTCCTGGGGCTGCTGCTGTCCCTGCCATTGCTGCCAGTGCATCCATTCTGACCCATAGCGGCCCAGTGTACAGCAGAAGGAAACATGCCCAGCCCTTGGCCATCCTCACGGTTGGTCTAAAGCCGGAGCCCACGGCGGTCGCCACGGTGTCAATCCGCCTTGTCAATCCTTCCTTGGTGTTCCTGCCCCTCTGCCTGACCGAGCATGACGTCCTTCCTCCAGGCACTGGCCACTCCTGACAACACGTCCGCAGCGTGTGTGAGACGTAGCCAGCAAAGCATTGCCATAGAACCTATCTACTGGCCATGGGCCTCGGTTGACCTTTCTGTGCACAGAAACTGATCCCAGCTGCCTCAAGCGGAGGAGGGGACTCGAGTTCCCAAGACAGGTGGCAGGTTCCCTGGGACACAGTGTCAAAGGAAGATAGATAGTGGCCTTCTCATCAAACTTGGTGATTACATCACCTGTGAGGCTGTCGGTGTAAGCCACAGTGTGAGGAGAACAGACCGAGCCGCGCGCTGTGGGATCTTAGAGCAACACTGGATCAGAAATGAAGCCAGAGGAAAGGAGCAGACTATGAAAGGGCGGCCCTCTCCCCACTGAAGGCATAGATCTCATGCCTGCAGACGATTCGGTCCTTACTACTGGGTCTCTCGATAGTTATCGGGTCGATGGGAGCCTACATATTTGCTCAGTGTTCAACGGGTGCCTTAAGGCAGTGGTTCTCAACCTTCCTAATGCCGTGACCCTTTCATGCAGTTCCTCCTGTGGTGGTGACATTATTTTCATTGCTACTTCATAACTGTAATTTTGCTACTGTTATGAATCGCCATGCAAATATCTGATAGGCAGGCTGTGTTTTCATTGTTACAAATTGAGCATCATCAAAGCATAGTGATTCATCACTAAGCAATATGTAATTGTATATTGTGAAATATTTATGTGCTTTCCGATGGTCTTAGGTGACCCCTGTGGGTTGAGAACCCACAGGTTGAGAACCGCTGCTTTAAGTGAACATGTTCTGGAAACACCTTTCTTTTTGTACATCGGTATGTTTAATTGATGCCCTCGGCCCTGGGTCCAGCAGGACCCTTGTTTGTGTAGTTGATGACAACTTTGCACTGTCCCGCTGCACGTGGGCTGAGGACACTGAGAGCCCAAGTGCACAGGGGTCAGGATGGCATGGGGGCACAGGGAGAAGGTTGTTTCATGAGCCCCGGAATATAGTGGCCAAGTGGTCAGTCGGAGGTGCTTCCTTCCCCCAAAAGACCACGCCCTTACTGACCACTGTCCTGTCAACATCTGCTCTGGCTGTGGTCCTATTTGTGGTAGCCTTTCAAACATTCCCTGGGCTAAACAACACCTCCACCCCTTCTCTCACTGTTTCTGTGTGTGTCCCTCAGGGGTGTAGTGGATTATGTGTCTGGCTGCTAACTGCAAGGTCAGCAGTTTGAACCCACCAGCCGCATGATGGGAGAAAGATGGGGCTTTCTACATTTTTTAAAGATTCCTAGCCTCGGAAAACCACAGGGGCACTTTGACCCTGTCCTGACAGGGCTGCTCCCAGTCATAATTGCCTCACTGACAGTGAGTTTTTTTGGGCGTTTTTGAGTTTTACAAAGCTGGGGTTCTGATAATGTAAGTCTTTATTTTGCTCCTCCCCCAAAACCCCACATTCTAGAACCCGGAGCATGAATTCAGATCCCCAGGGTCTGTTCATTTGAACACCCCATTCTTCTGCTGCGATGACATATGTTTCTAGAACACCCCCTCTCCCCCCGCCGTGCCACCACTGCCCACTTCTTGGCATCAGAAGTAGCTTTCAGGGAACTTGAACAGGCCCCTCCTAAATGGCACAGTCAACCAAGCTTTCAGTGGGAGAAATTGGCAACTTAGGGAAGAGCCCACCCCTCCCACAGGAGAGCCCCTCTCTCCAGGCTGGCCCTGGTGGCCAGTTTCTGCTCTGTCTTTCCCAGGGCTCTGTTTCTTCAGGGGCATCTTCAACACAACTCCCCGGGTGGTCCTGGCCCCGCAAGAGTTGGCTGTAGTCGGACTCAGAATGTTCCAGAACTGGCTCCTGCTCACCAAACCCATGTCCTCTCAGAGAGTGGACCTGTGCCGACCTGAACCGATTTGCCAATGCGCCGCCTCCCTCCGCCAACCCTCAGCCTCCCGCATCCTTCCCCCCTCTCCTTCCTCCTTCCGGGACTCCTCCTCGCTAACACCCTTTATTATAAACCCCCCCACCCTGCATCCGCCCGCTGTTAATGTCTGTTCTTTTCTGTCGGCCCCACCCCCCCTGCTGCGCAGAGCTGCTGTCTCCTGGTGTGCAGAGGTGGTCTTACCTTAGCACCCACAGCGACTCCCGCCCCAACTCCCCCTTCCGACACCACTTCATTCCCTATGTCAAAGGTAAGGAGGCAGGCTCCCCAGGCAGCACTCCCCACTCCCACCCCCACGCCCAGCCCGCGTTGGGCATTATTAGCACCCGGACAGCTAATAAGGTGTGCCTGCAAGAGCTAGCGTCCAGCTTCTGACCTCTGAGCATGCCTGCCACGTGTGTCATGACCTTGCCCAGCGGTGCCTTAGACCTGGCATGGCACCTTTCCCGAGGAGCCACATGCCACCTCTACAGGCTCTCGGTGAAGAAACAGGAAGTCCAACTGAGATATGACGTGCCGCCTACCGCTTAGCTGCTTTGTTTTTTCGATCAAGGCAAAGCGCAGCCTTCAGCCGGGCGGGGTTTGAATCTGTGATCTGTCTTGGCAAACACAACAGCCTGGAAGGGCACACATCCCCCAGCTGTCCTGACAGCGATCAGTCACTTAACCACACACATGCCTGGGCCCTGCCAAGAGACGCATGGAATCATCCGTCTCCGGAGCCACTTGAATGTGTCTCTGGGAGCCAGTGGTTCACGGGTAGTCTTTGGATGAGTCCTGATTTCTGCCTGATGGAGAAGGGAGGCCGGGCCTCCCTGGCCCGTGGTCCCTTTGTGGGCTGGGAGACTAGCCTGCCTCACAGTTCATCCTGTGCCTTTCTGCCTCCCTCTGTGCTTTCCTCATGTTGCTGCTGTGCTGTGGCCGCCCCCCCTCGGGGCTGGTGGCATCGTGGTCATGCATTGGGTTGCTAACTGCAAGGTCAGCCGTTCAAAGCCACCCGGGAGAAAGGCGAGGCTTTCTGCTTCCCATGAAGAGTTCCGGTCCCGGAAACCCACAGGGCAGTTGTCCCCTGTCCTACAGGGCCGCATTGCCTCGGTGGCAGTGAGTAGGTTGTGCAGGCACTGAGGGACCCGGGAGCCCTGAAGAGGTTGTAAAGTGTGATGCCCCAGAGGGATGATCACGTTTTCTGGCCTTCCTTTGCACCAGCTTACCCGAGAAAACCTCCGAGGGAGGGAACAGAAAGAATGCACACAGGTGCTGCCGGTCTCTTCACACCCTCCCCGAGGGCTCCAGACAGGGGCGCTCCGGGCAGGCGCCGTGAGTCGCCTGCATGGGGTTCTCTTTCCCCAAGCCTTCGCCGGTCAGCTAGCCAAGCGATGCTCTTCTTGACGCTTGGACTTTGGCACCACGGAGCCCTAAAAACAATAATCATAGTAAATGCACAGCAATTAATCAGTAGGCAGTTGACAAATCTCCCATGTCAGCATTTTTCCTGCGCTACAAAAGCAGCGTTGCCGGCGTGCTTGTGGAAGACACTCCCTTTGGCCATGCTCCAAGAGGCTGACCTGTTCCAGTAGGGCAAGCACTTTCTAAAATTCTGGAGGGACTAGTGAAAATTACCTAGTCCCAAAGACGAGTACAGACAGGTCACTGTTAGCTGGCATCTAGGGCAGACCCTTCATAAAAAACCCTAAGATGTGTTTGCAGAAACTTCACAGGCACATTTTACAAGGTTTTTTTTGGGGGGGGGAGGGGCACGTATAATTCACATATCAGAGAATTCAATAGTTCAGTCATATTAAGAAGCGTATGTAATCATCACCACAATCGGTTTTAGAACATTTTCTCCTGTTTTGTATGTGTTGTTATTCGCTCCCCGTTTCCCCCCAGCCTCTCCTGTCATGCCCCCAAGAAACCATTAATCCAGTTCCTGTCTCTATAGATGTTCCCCTCCTGGGTTTCATCTACAGAACAACATGCCCCCAAACAACAACAACACCCCACCCCCCACCCCCACCCCAGCAAAAACGGTAACAGAGTAAGATGGAGAAAAACCTCAACCGGAAAGAAAGCAGAGAACACTGAAGACAATGGGCCAGACGGTCAGTTTTAAAGAGACTTGACTGTAGAGGCCCTTGGCCAAAGGACGGTTGTGTCTGCCTGTCTGTGTGCTTACCTCTGACACAAGGGGACGCACATCCCCGTTTTGTTCTCTGCATGTGTGTCCCCATTCAGAAGACCTCCTGTCGCAGAGCGAAACGTGCCCCATGCCGCTGAACGGATGCAGAATTTGTCCAAATTCTGTGGGAGAACATACTCTCCACGGTCCCTGTGTCCCCGAGCGGCTTCCGGGAGCTGCCTTCTGGGTTTGAGTAGCATCGCCGGCGCATGCTGACTGTGAGGCCTCTGTGAACTGGGACGCATGGGCCCTGTCACCTCCCGAATGACGTGTGACGTGGAGTGCCGGGTGTGTAATGCGCACACCCAGATGCCCGCCCCTGATGTCCGCCTCGTCGGGAGCATCCCTGCTCCCGCAGCAGTTCTGGGCCCACCGTTCCATCCACTCTGCAGGACATTTCTGAGAAGAAAGCGTTCAGACCGGAAGAATGATCAGGGCCCCGCCTCACTCTTAGAGCCATGTGATGGCCCCTCTCTCGCACTGCTTCTACGGGATGGATGGGTGCCTGCTATCTGTGTGTGTTAAAGACGGTGCACACTTCAGGCCCAAGAAAGAAGATGCGGAAGCGCACACTCATAGTTTGTCAATCAGTTGAAGGTCCTCCCCAACCCCCACCCCCAGAGAACATATACAATAAACACGAGGCTGACCAAGCACAACCTAGATGATGGCTTAATGCTGAATTTCCAAGGAGTGACTTCTTAGTTATTGTAGAAATTAGAACAACAGACACGTGACCATGGACCCCGAAGGCCTCACACACACAAGGGGACACATGACCACTTGGGAAACACACCTCAGATACCTGTAACATGGGGCCCTTTTCCCAGGGTGTCCTGTCCCTTCCTGTGAATGTTTGTTTCGTTGTATCCTGGAGTTTGTCTTGGGGCCTTGGGGGTATAATTGTTAAAACGAGTGACAGCTGGGGAGCTTGGGGACCCCATGTAGGAGGTCCCTCTCAGGGATGTATGTAACTGAACCATGGAGCCTAGACTCTCGGACAGGCAGGAGCCCGGCCTTGCAGTGCCCACTGCCACTTCCTGGTCCTTATTTCAGATGCATGCCTGCCCCGGCCCTACAGCTCATTGAATGGAGGATGCCTGTGTGAGCGCCAGACTGGGACCTGTGCCCCAGGGCTGGGT